GACTCAGTTCGTGAGATTGTCCTCTGTAGCTCAATTGGTAGAGCACGGCGCTTGTAACGCCAGGGTAGTGGGTTCGATCCCCGGGACCACCCCATACGTAAAAATGTATGCACACATGACTGTAAGTCGCTTTGGATAAAAGCGTCTGCTAAATGACTATATTATTATTATTATTATTAACACGCAACCTCGTCTCTCAGTGTCCCATGTTTACTTTCAGGGGGTTGCTTTCAGGAGGAGGCTGGGTGGGGTCTTATCTGATGCAGAAGTTTTTGCTGCTTTGTAATTGTGTTGTGAGACCAGGAGACTGTCGGTGTGGGGAATAATTGGGTTGTGCGTATAGCAGACGGGTGTGACAAATTCAAAGAGGATAAGAGAGATGGAGGAGCTAGTATCATGCATACTGTACTCTCTCCTCTCTCTTTTTCTTTCACTTTCTCTTTCTCCTTCTCCCTCTTTCTATCTCTCTCACTTTCTCTCTCTCCCCCCCAGCGTTATTTTCATGTGGAAGGTTTGCATAAATGACGAGCAACTTCTGCCAAATATCGTGTGGGATTTGCTTCAAGAACCTTAGTCTCTTTATTTATTTACAATTTTTCAAAAACAGAAAAATATTTCTTATTGAGGCCTTCATTTCCTACTAGTTCCCCAGAAGCTAGCTAGCTATTCCTCTTTGATCAATGTTCTATTACTGATGTATTTTTCTTAACTTAACATCACCCACCACACATGTTCTTTCAATGCAACTCAGCCTGTACCATGTGCATCAATATGTAAGCTCCAGGGTTGGGGTCAATTCCATTTAAATTCTGGTCAAAAGCAGAGGGACATGAAGATGGCGGGCCCCATGTACTTACCACAAATTCTTAGCAGAATATACATGATCCCAATTTTAGCTTAAAGACAATGGCAATTTGAAGAAAAAGTAGATTGTGCTGATTTGTGGGGACATTTAAACCATATCTCGCGCCGTAGTTTAAAAACGCAGTGGATAGTGATAAAACAATGACAGCAAGAATCTGATTTTTCTGATGTCAAGTAGCCGCGGTTAAAAATAACCCACAGTAAAACATGCATTGCTAGGCTACACCCAGTGCTGGAGCAGCACTTCATTGAAGCATTGAAACGCCAGACGAGTTTTGCTTGTCATTTCAAGTCTATTTCTCAAACGTTCTGTGCGTGTGAAGTGGCTTGCGTTGTGCCAGGCTATTGTTTTCTGCTTCTATTCAAAGTTTATGGTGTAAAAATAATTTGCTAACAGAATGCTTATGCCTCATCCACATCACCAAGGTTCAAAGTTCTGTACTTATTCAGTTTCACATTTTTAGAACTTAAGCTAGCATGTTTTTCAAACCAGCCAGCCCATGAGGTTTCATGCCGTCCCGTCATACTTTTTTGAGTCGGTAATATGAATGCGGCATTGCAGAATACGCACAGCCGTTGTGGTGTGGTTTCGGGGTGACAGAGTTGACTGAGGGTTGGTGTAGGCTAATCTTTGGCGCCCGAACAGGGGCATGACTTGACAAGGTGACATCGGGGTGTCACTGATGTGTGTAAGCCTACTACTCAGTTCTAGTCTTTTGCACAATGATTTCTGTGCGACAGACAGGCCTAGCCCTACGGTAAATAATACTTTCAACAAACACCTCTCTGTAAGTAAAAAAAAAAAAAAAAAAACCCTGGCTGCAATATCCGTTGAGCAATGGAAGGGGGGAAATTCTCTGTTAGGTGACAAATCAAAAAGTTGTCGCTTGACAGTCATTTGTTCTGTGCTTTAGGCTTCTGTGTATAGGCTAACTGTCAATTGGGCAAGCACCAGAAACCCAGCACCAATGCTCCTCAATGGCAACAGAGCAAGGGCAGGGAGTGGCACTGTTTACAAATGGAAGAACACATTTCCCAAGGAGTTTTCACCCTCTCAATTCCCCTTCTCCTACACTCCGAAAACAGCGCTGAGGGAATTTCCAAATGTAAGAAACGTGTTCAGTATGTGTAGGGCGGGGGGGGGTGCATGGTTTACTCCACCTGCTAGGCTGTTTCTAGGTGTTCAGCTGTGTGTGTGTTTGTCTGTATACATCCTGGTTCCTCTCTCCCTTCTTGTGATGCCTTACGTACCCTGTATCCCTCCAGGGACACGCAAGCACCTAAATCATTAAAAGGAATCAAAATAATTTATAACCAGACGGTACAAGCGCATCTAGCAGAGCTCAACTGTGTCTAGAGAGTGAACGAGAGGGAGGGGAGTGAGGGACAGGCAGCGAAGAGAGAAGCAGGAGGAGATGGGAGGGAGGGAGATAAAAGATTCCTCTGTGCTGTTCATTTTGGGACCCTCATGGACTCCTCCAAAATGGCCTCTGTTCTAGTGAAGTGAAAAAACTTTGAGCCCGCTGGTAATTTGAGCCTGGTATTCAAGGCTAGGGGGAGCGAACAAGGGAGGGAGGAAGGGGGAGAGGTAAGAGAGGCCCTTTTGGAATTTACCTCTCGGTTCTGTTTTGGAACGAGGCCCAATCGTAAACCCTTTGAGGCCTCGCAGGGAACCAGTTATTTCTGTCAAAAAAATTGATCTCTTGTACAGCTGTCTCACTACTAACAGTCAAGTTGTTTCTAATAAGCACTTGTTCTCTCTATGGCACTCTGGCCATATGCTGTGGGAAAGTCTACATTTACTCTGTTAACTCTTTGTGTGATCTTGCATAACTTGACATATTACGTAACTTTTCCCTAAAGGACAATTTTACGAAGGTACGTACTAGATGGACTGAATCCACATCCAAGCAAAATACGGGTCGGCTTTTCTGACTACAACCTACTTTATTTTTTACAAGATTAGCCTTTTATTGAAAAGAAAAGTAACAAAGTCCCACAGATTTAAAGAGGAGTGTAAAATTGGCATGTTCTGTACCTTAAACACTTTTTATATTGTTATTATCAAACCAAACACAAGGTTTGACTCTCAGTTTGTAGCGGAGCAACACAAATTAAGACAACAAAAAAGACTCTAGGGCCACACCTTTCCACAATTGTCTGGAGTGCTGTTTTTTGGGCATCAACCACTCTGAGAAAGAGTTCATATTTTTCTGCAGTCGTCACTGTCCGGCTAGAAACTGCCCAGAGTTAACTGACCTTGACATTAGTGGAGGGAGCTAGGCTATTAGCTAATCCATTGTTGTTGCCTAGATGCTGGTAACTAGGCACAGGGAACGCATGCATGCTAGCATTAGCGTAGCTAAGGGACCATTTCAGAAATGCCATGCATCTCAGTACGTGTAGTAGTGTCTTCATTGTGGTTTTATGGCATTGTGCAAACCAATATTAGCTGCATTAACGGCAGCATTACAACGTGTAAAAGCCACTCCCTTGTGTGTGTGACAGTGTATGTACACTACCAGTCAAGAGTTTGGACACACATACTCATTCAAGGGTGTTTCTTTATTCTTACAATTTTTTACATTGTAGAATAATAGTGAAGACATCAAAACTATGAAATAACACATGGAATAATGTATTAACCAAAAAAGTGTTAAACAAATCAAAATATATTTATATTTGAGATTCTTCTAAGTAGCCACCCTTTGCCTTGATGACAGCTTTGCACACTCTTGGCATTCTCTCAACCAGCTTCACCTAGAATGCTTTTCCAACACTCTTGAGGTCGGGGGATTGTGGAGGCCAGGTCATCTGATGCAGCACTCCATCACTCTCCTTCTTGGTCAAATATCCCTTACACAGCCTGGAGGTGAGTTGGGTCATTGTCCTGTTGAAAAACAAATGATAGTCCCACTAAGCCCAAACCAGATGGGATGGCGTATCGCTGCAGAATGCTGTGGTAGCCATGCTGGTTAAGTGTGCCTTGAATTCTAAATCACAGACAGTGTCACCAGCAAAGCGCCATAACACCACCACCTCCATGCTTTACGGTGGGAAATACAATTGCGGAGATAATCCGTTCACCCACACCGTGTCTCACAAAGACATGGCGGTTGGAACCAAAAATCTCAAATTTGGACTCATCAGACCAAAGGACAAATTTCCACTGGTCTAATGTCCATTGCTTGTGTTTCTTGGCCCAAGCAAGTCTCTTCTTATTATTGGTGTCCTTTAGTAGTGGTTTCTTTGCAGCAATTCGACCATGAAGGCCTGATTCACACAGTCCCCTCTGAGCAGTTGATGTTGATGTGTCTGTTACTTGAACTCTGTGAATCATTTATTTGGGCTGCAATTTCTGAGGCTGGTAACTCCAATGAATGTATCCTCTGCAGCAGAGGTAACTCTGGGTCTTCCATTCCTGTGGTGGTCCTCATGAGAGCCAGTTTCATCATAGCGCTTGATGGTTTTTGCGACTGCACTTGAAGAAACTTTCAAAGTTCTTGAAATGTTCCGTATTGACTGACCTTCATGTCTTAAAGTAATAATGGACTGTCGTTTCTCTTTGAGCTGTTCTTGCCATAATAAGGACTTGGTCTTTTACCAAATAGTGCTATCTTCTGTATACCCCCCCTACCTTGTCACAACACAACTGATTGGCTCAAACGCATTAAGAAGGAAAGAAATTCCACAAATTAACTTTTAACAAGGCACTCCTGTAATTGAAATGCATTCCAGGTGACTACCTCATGATGCTAGTTGAGAGAATGCCAATAGTTTGCAAAGCTGTCATCAAGGCAAAGGGTGGCTATTTGAAGAATCTCAAATATATTTTTATTTGTTGAACACTTTTTTGGTTACTACATGATTCCATATGTGTTATTTCATAGTTTTGATGTCTTCACTATTATTCTACAATGTAGAAAATAGTAAAAATAAAGAAAAACCCTGGAATGAGTAGGTGTGTCCAAACTTTGACTGCTACTGTATGTGCGCGCCCTCGTGCACATTTGAATACGTTCACATAATTTCATGCCTGTGTGAGAGTCCGTGAGTTCGTGTGGGTGGCCTTAAGATGACCTTGCTCTATGCCAAATCCTCTCCCTCTCTCTGCTGCTGTGTTCACATGCTCCCAGGGCTGGTTCCTCTTTCTGCAGCCCCAGTCTGCTGCCTGCCTGCCTGCCTGCGAGGTGGCTGGGCTACGCTGGGCGGATGAGAGTTGGAGGAGTGTTGGTCAGTGTTCCAGAGTTGTTGTCGTCGTGTGTGGATCAGATGACAGCCGGACCAGACTAATGCGTGATGACTCACCCTTGTGGTGTGTCTGGGCAAACACTGCCCCCGCTGGTTCTCCTTGGTACTTCCCCTGGTGAGGAAGCGAAAGGCCCAGTTAGAGCTCCCACTGTAGGGGAAGGGTGGTGGAGATGACTGGGGGGGGTGGAGGTGACTGGAGAATCTGGCTGTTGTTTTTCTCCACACTGGATATAGCACCATATGCCTGGGCATTGGAAGACTGAGGTGGCGTCCCAAATAGCACCCTATTCCTTATTTAGTGCACTACTTTTCACTTTGACATGTTGGTCATTTAGCAAACCCTCTTATCCACAGCTTATGGTCAGTAACCAATCGGGCTCTGGTCAAAAGTACTGCACTATATAGGGAATAGGGTGCAATTTGGGACCCAGACCGAGTCCACCCCTGGCAGTCATTGTTGCCATAACAAGGCCAATCTAGGTGGAGCAGCCTGCGTGACTCAGCATAGTGTTTGTTCTATGTGAAGTATTAAAGGTGGCTCTTTGACATTTCCCCCCGTGCGTTTGTGCATGCGTTTGTAACTGTGTTCCTATGCGTGCATGCAAGCAAGTGTATACGGGAATAAATGCCAAAGAGAGCTTCTTGTAATGGACACTGGCTCGAAGCTGTTAAAGTATCAGATGTTAGTTTTGACCGTGTTGCTGTTACTATTCATATCCAGCTTGTCTAAGATGAAGGCCCAGGTGCCAACTCATACTGCTGAAAGTCACGTTCATTGTTTACACACACTTACAGAACATGAGCAGCAGTTTGCCAGCTGTTTTTTTGTGGGGTTGCTTTGTTAGTCGAGGCAGAGAACTGCTGCTTCTTCCTCTGTAGTCCTTTTTAGGCTTGTTGTGTCGAGGACTCGCAGAGACTTACAGTGGGGGGAAAAAGTATTTAGTCAGCCACCAATTGTGCAAGTTCTCCCACTTAAAAAGATGAGAGAGGCCTGTAATTTTCATCATAGGTACACGTCAACTATGACAGACAAAATGAGAAAAGAAATCCAGAAAATCACTTTGTAGGATTTTTTATGAATTTATTTACAAATTATGGTGGAAAATAAGTATTTTGTCAATAACAAAAGTTTCTCAATACTTTGTTATATACCCTTTGTTGGCAATGACACAGGTCAAACGTTTTCTGTAAGTCTTCACAAGGTTTTCACACACTGTTGCTGGTATTTTGGCCCATTCCTCCATGCAGATCTCCTCTAGAGCAGTGATATTTTGGGGCTGTCGCTGGGCAACACAGACTTTCAACTCCCTCCAAAGATTTTCTAAGGGGTTGAGATCTGGAGACTGGCTAGGCCACTCCAGGACCTTGAAATGCTTCTTATGAAGCCACTCCTTCGTTGCCCGGGAGGTGTGTTTGGGATCATTGTCATGCTGAAAGACCCAGCCACGTTTCATCTTCAATGCCCTTGCTGATGGAAGGAGGTTTTCACTCAAAATCTCACGATACATGGCCCCATTCATTCTTTCCTTTACAAGGATTAGTCGTCCTGGTCCCTTTGCAGAAAAACAGCCCCAAAGCATGATGTTTCCACCCCCATGCTTCACAGTAGGTATGGTGTTCTTTGGATGCAACTCAGCATTCTTTGTCCTCCAAACACGACGAGTTGAGTTTTTACCAAAAAGTTATATTTTGGTTTCATTTGACCATTCCTCTTCTGGATCATCCAAATGCACTCTAGCAAACTTCAGACGGGCCTGGACATGTACTGTCTTAAGCAGGGGGACACGTCTGGCACTGCAGGATTTGAGTCCCTGGCGGCGTAGTGTGTTACTGATGGTAGGCTTTGTTACTTTGGTCCCAGCTCTCTACAGGTCATTCACTAGGTCCCCCCGTGTGGTTCTGGGATTTTTGCTCACCGTTCTTGTGATCATTTTCACCCCACGGGGAGAGATCTTGCGTGGAGCCCCAGATCGAGGGAGATTATCAGTTGTTTTGTATGTCTTCCATTTCCTAATAATTGCTCCCACAGTTGATTTCTTCAAACCAAGCTGCTTACCTATTGCAGATTCAGTCTTCCCAGCCTGGTGCAGGTCTACAATTGTGTTTCTGGTGTCCTTTGACAGCTCTTTGGTCTTGGCCATAGTGGAGTTTGGAGTGTGACTGTTTGAGGTTGTGGACAGGTGTCTTTTATACTGATAACAAGTTCAAACAGGTGCTATTAATACAGGTAACGAGTGGAGGACAGAGGAGCCTCTTAAAGAAGAACTTACAGGTCTGTGAGAGCCAGAAATCTTGCTTGTTTGTAGGTGACCAAATACTTATTTTCCACCATAATTTGCAAATAAATTCATTAGAAATCCTACAATGTGATTTTCTGGATTTTCTTTTCTCAATTTGTCTGTCATAGTTGACGTGTACCTATGATGAAAATTACAGGCCTCTCTCATCTTTTTAAGTGTGAGAACTTGCACAATTGGTGGCTGACTAAATGCCTTTTTCCCCCACTGTATAAGCCCAAGCATTTAGTATGACCTCTGAGTTCGTATGACTCACGATAGTTTATTGAGGATCCAAATGAAATGGCCCAGTGGTGTGTCAGCAGCAGGGGACCCAGCTTTATGCTTGTCACTATAACGGTGTTTTGACCATAGAGGTCCTGCCTGTATCCTACTGGTGCTTTACCCATCTCCCTCAGGTTCATAGGGTCAGAAGTGTGTTTGCTGACTCTTCACTTGTTACTTTGTGTGTGGTCTAGGTGGGTCTAGGAGTGTGTGTTTAGGTGTGTGTGTGTGTTTTAGGTGTGTGTGTGTGTTTAGTTGTGTGCGTGTATGGCTGTGACGGTCATGGAAGACGCTCTCCTCCGCTCCTGACTGCATGTGCTGCTGCAGGGAGGGGGAAGTTGCCTAGACAACTGAGAACTTGTTTGCTACAACACCTTGCTTGTTTCAGCAAGGAGCAACGGTTTCATCTAGTTGGAGAGTCCAGTCCATGTTACAGCAGAAACGGACTCAACCGCACGAATGCCTGGGTGTTCCATCTTCAGTCAGCCGAATGCCTGGGTGTTCCATCTTCAGTCAGCCGAATGCCTGGGTGTTCCATCTTCAGTCAGCCGAATGCCTGGGTGTTCCATCTTCAGTCAGCCGAATGCCTGGGTGTTCCATCTTCAGTCAGCCGAATGCCTGGGTGTTCCATCTTCAGTCAGCCGAATGCCTGGGTGTTCCATCTTCAGTCAGCCGAATGCCTGGGTGTTCCATCTTCAGGCAGCCGAATGCCTGGGTGTTCCATCTTCAGTCAGCCGAATGTCTGGGTGTTCCATCTTCAGTCAGCCGAATGCCTGGGTGTTCCATCTTCAGTCAGCCGAATGCCTGGGTGTTCCATCTTCAGTCAGCCGAATGCCTGGGTGTTCCATCTTCAGTCAACCGAATGCCTGGGTGTTCCATCTTCAGTCAGCCGAATGCCTGGGTGTTCCATCTTCAGGCAGCCGAATGCCTGGGTGTTCCATCTTCAGGCAGCCGAATGCCTGGGTGTTCCATCTTCAGGCAGCCGAATGCCTGGGTGTTCCATCTTCAGGCAGCTGTTCATTCCACACATGTATTATTTATTTATGTTTACGGTTAGTTTATTTTCATGACGGTCTTCATCCATAACCGTCTGTTAAATTGTACCAGCCCTATGTGCGTGTGTAGGTGTGTGTTTTGTAGGTGATGTTGTCTCACTAATTACCTCTCTCTCTCTCTCTCTCTCTCTCTCTCCCCCCCCCCCCAGTTCTCCCCATGTCCGTGAGCCGTCGGCTGCGGCTTTGCGGCACCCCTCCCCTGGAGTGGTCTGTCGCTGCAGTTCAGACCCCGTGATCCCCTCTCCCCCCCCCCCCCCCCCTCCCCCCTCCCTCCCCTCCCCTCCCTCCTCCCTCCCCCGTTCCCCTCCCCCCTCCCCCGTTCCCCTCCTCCCTGCGCATCGCTGTGCGGGAAGTCATGAGCATAGTAATCGCGCTGGGAGTCACCACACCAGAAACGTCCTACTCAGATATGGCTGCTGGATCAGAGTGAGTACCACGGGCGGGGGGAGGTGTGGGGTGAGGAGGACGCGTATCCTTCGTCACCTCCTAGAAATAGACTTGTCAACTATGGTGAAAGCCTCTCTTTCTCTCTCTCTTGCATTGTAAAGAGAAACAAGGTGGAAAAACCTTGCACTGATGCACTCAACCACCCATTACATCACATACTGTAACTGAATAGTGATGATGCCAAGGCTAAATCAGACAAGTATTGAAATAGGAGCCCAACAGTCCATTGTTCTGCTAAACCCTGTATGAGGAAATGTCCCCTGACACCACAGGGAAATGGACCTGAACCCAGCACTGCTGCTTCACTGTCGGTGAGACCGATGACTGAGCTTCTATGGAATGTAGCTGGATCAGGCCTCCTTCCCCATACTCTTCTTCACCCAACCTGACTCAGGGGGATTTCACTTCACATGAAAACAATGAGAAACAGAAAGCAGACACGATCGACATTTACAAAAAAATCTCCCGCCGGGATGTAATATTTTCTTGTTTGAGATGGAGCGTTCTGACAGTTGATAGTTTGGCAGTGCTACGTGCACCAGGACTGTAGTTGTTAGGTAAAAGGTTGTTTTCCTCTCCCATCGAGACCTCTGCTAAAGGGCAACGGGGAGGTGCATAACAGCCAGGCATAATGGTGGCCGACATTCCATTTCCCGAATGGTCATCATTCTCCCAGGCTTCCCTTGGCTCTCGGGGGATGTTTTGGGCTGTGGTGCCATCTAGTGTACAGAACAGGCCTGGTAGATTTCACACTTGTTTACAAGCAGGTTAATGCTGCAACCCTCTAAAAAAGGGCTTTATTCAGCAGGACACACTATAGCAGAGCGTTTTGCGAAGATAAACTAGCATGTCTTATTGGACAAGTTTAGGTTGTCCTTCCCTGTTTCAGTCCATTTGGTGCCTAATGAATATGACCAAGCTTAGCTGCTGTATAAGTGGTTGAAAAATGGCTTTCACCGTATTTAAGCTAAGTGTGTAGTCTTTCTAGATAAAATGTTTATTGTAACTTGTCCCTATCTCTGGTTGTCTTTCTATCATTAACTCCTCTACATTTCTCCTACTCTCTCACTCGCTCTCTCTCTCTCAGCCCTGAGTCAGTGGAAGCAAGTCCTGCCGTGAACGAGAAAAACTACCCCAACCACAACTGTGGGAGTGCACACCGTTATGGGTATCGGGGACTACCATATACTGTGAGTACACAGCTCTCTTTCTCTATCTCTATGTCTCTGTTCTATACGTAGATATCAACCTTCCATCTAATTATAGGCCAGTCTCTGTTCTATACGTAGATATCAACCTTCCATCTAATTATAGGCCAGTCTCTGTTCTATACGTAGATATCAACCTTCCATCTAATTATAGGCCAGTCTCTGTTCTATACGTAGATATCAACCTTCCATCTAATTATAGGCCAGTCTCTGTTCTATACGTAGATATCAACCTTCCATCTAATTATAGGCCAGTCTCTGTTCTATACGTAGATATCAACCTTCCATCTAATTATAGGCCAGTCTCTGTTCTATACGTAGATATCAACCTTCCATCTAATTATAGGCCAGTCTCTGTTCTATACTTAGATATCAACCTTCCATCTAATTATAGGCCAGTCTCTGTTCTATACGTATATATCAACCTTCCATCTAATTATAGGCCAGTCTCTGTTCTATACTTAGATATCAACCTTCCATCTAATTATAGGCCAGTCTCTGTTCTATACTTAGATATCAACCTTCCATCTAATTATAGGCCAGTCTCTGTTCTATACGTAGATATCAACCTTCCATCTAATTATAGGCCAGTCTCTGTTCTATACGTAGATATCAACCTTCCATCTAATTATAGGCCAGTCTCTGTTCTATACGTAGATATCAACCTTCCATCTAATTATAGGCCAGTCTCTGTTCTATACGTAGATATCAACCTTCCATCTAATTATAGGCCAGTCTCTGTTCTATACGTAGATATCAACCTTCCATCTAATTATAGGCCAGACTCTGTTCTATACGTAGATATCAACCTTCCATCTAATTATAGGCCAGTCTCTGTTCTATACTTAGATATCAACCTTCCATCTAATTATAGGCCAGTCTCTGTTCTATACTTAGATATCAACCTTCCATCTAATTATAGGCCAGTCTCTGTTCTATACGTAGATATCAACCTTCCATCTAATTATAGGCCAGTCTCTGTTCTATACGTATATATCAACCTTCCATCTAATTATAGGCCAGTCTCTGTTCTATACTTAGATATCAACCTTCCATCTAATTATAGGCCAGTCTCTGTTCTATACTTAGATATCAACCTTCCATCTAATTATAGGCCAGTCTCTGTTCTATACTTAGATATCAACCTTCCATCTAATTATAGGCCAGTCTCTGTTCTATACTTAGATATCAACCTTCCATCTAATTATAGGCCAGTCTCTGTTCTATACGTAGATATCAACCTTCCATCTAATTATAGGCCAGTCTCTGTTCTATACTTAGATATCAACCTTCCATCTAATTATAGGCCAGTCTCTGTTCTATACGTAGATATCAACCTTCCATCTAATTATAGGCCAGACTCTGTTCTATACGTAGATATCAACCTTCAATCTAATTATAGGCCAGTCTCTGTTCTATACGTAGATATCAACCTTCCATCTAATTATAGGCCAGTCTCTGTTCTATACTTAGATATCAACCTTCCATCTAATTATAGGCCAGTCTCTGTTCTATACGTAGATATCAACCTTTTATGTAATTATAGGCCAGTCTCTATTATATACTTAGTTATCAATATTTCGGTCAAGTCCTATTTATATAAGATGTCCCTTGTGGACTTTTTGCAGAAAACTAAATGAATTAGTCAGTGTGAGAGCATGTAAAGCCAGTACTGTTGCATGTGAAATCTTACGTCAGAGAGGAAGGATTATCCCTCACAACAGGGCAAGTCGACAAACCAAACCAAATAAAGTCAGCTCAATGTTGGAACTCTCTAAAGCTGCTTGACACGTTCACACTGCGCCGCCTTGTGTTTCCAGCTAAAAGGTTGTATTGTCACGTACCATTTGGTTTGTCCTCATTTTCATTCGTCTTCCATTTTCCGTTTCCTCTTCCTGAACGCCCGTTGTTTGAAGATGCAACAGTCTTCCGTTGTGTGTTGTCAGGATCACAACTATGGTGCACCCCCTCCGCCCACCCCACCCGCCTCCCCGCTCTCCCAAACCATCATTCCCCGCATGGAGCTCAATGGCGTGGCGCGCGGCCCCGCCTCCCGCTACCATGACAACGCCACCAATGGCGGCCAGGAGGAGAACTCGGCCGACAGCGACAGCTCGTCGGAGGAGGACGGGGCTGTGGCCAGCTGGTGCCACTGCAGCCTGACGCAGGACGGCTTCCTCATCAAGTGCGAGAGCTGCAGGTGAGAGAACGCCTTCCCGAGTACACTCTGTTGATGTGTAGAAGTGCCGGGTGATTTTATACATGTTGGCTGTATTTGTGTGTCACCAATTCTATTTGTCTTGCATGAGTACACAGACATAGTATAAGTCATATATTGATATAGAAGATCTGCAATTTCCTGGATGTAATATTCTTATTTCTGTGATTTCAGGGGGCTGGACAGGAGGAAAGGACTGTACGGCCAACGCAGGAAACCAGAAAATGTATCAGGTATTGTGAAGGGTACTTGACACAGACTGCATAACATACATCTCAATGTCTGTCTTCCAAGTATGGAACATGCATACAGCCACAACATTAATGCTTTGGCAGTACGTACATACATTTAGCCAATTGGCCTCAACTTAACATTTTACATTTACATTTTAGTCATTTAGCAGACGCTCTTATCCAGAGTGACTTACATGAGCAATTAGGGTTAAGTGCCTTGCTCAAGGGTACATCGTCAGATTTTTCACCTAGTCGGCTCAGGGATTAGAACCAGCGACCTTTCGGTTACTGGCACAACGCTCTTAACCACTAAGCTACCTGCCGCCCCGTAACCTCATGTAAACTCCATGGGCCAGTTTTCCTGGACACAGATTAAGCGTAGTCCTGGACTAAAAAGCTCAAAAGAAAATCTCTATTGAAATAGCTTATCAAATCAAATCAAATCAAGTCACATTTTATTTGCCACATGTGCCGAATACAACAGGTGTACCTTACAGTGAAATGCTTACTTACAAGCCCTTAACACTTTTTTTTCTTAAAACTGCATTGTTGGTTAAGTAAAAAATCAAATAATTATAGAGCAGCAGTGAAATAAAATAACAGTAGGGAGGTTATATACAGGGGGTACCGGTACAGAGTCAGTGTGCGGGGGCACCGGTTAGTTGAGGTAATATGTACATGTGGGTAGAGTGGGGGGGGGGGGCAGTGCAAATAGTCCGGATAGCCATGATTAGCTGTTCAGGAGTCTTGGGGGTAGAAGCTGTTAAGAAGCCTTTTGGACCTAGAATTGGCGCTCCGGTACCGCTTGCCGTGCGGTAGCAGAGAGAACAGTCTATGACTAGGGTGGCTGGAGTCTTTGACAATTTTGAGGGCCTTCCTCTGACACCACCTGGTATAGAGGTCCTGGATGGCAGGAAGCTTGGCCCCAGTGATATACTGGGCCGTACGCACTACCCTCTGTAGTGCCTTGCGGTCAGAGGCTGAGCAGTTGCCATACCAGGCAGTGATGCAACCAGTCAGGATGCTCTCGATGGTGCGGCTGTATAACTTTTTGAGGATCTGGGGACCCATGCCAAATCTTTTCAGTCTCCTGAAGGGGAATAGGCTTTGTCGTGCCCTCTTCATGACTGTCTTGGTGTGTTCAGTCCAGGACCAGGTTTAATATTAGTCCAGGAAACCAAGCCCTTTACTGTTGGTGGACCCAGGTGGATAGGAAGTTTGCTGCGTACCTGCGCATGCTCAAGTCCATCTCTTCTTGTATTTCCAGTGGGCGAGAGCAGTGCCACGGAGAGCGGCGACGAGGAGGTGTCGCCCGCCACAGTGTCCTACACGGCAACGCAACACACGCCCACCAGCATCACGCTCACTGTCAACCGCGTCAAGCGGAACAAGTCCAAGAAGAGGAAGAAGAGCACGGAGAAGGCCCGCGGAGTGCCCAAGGCCAAGAAGATCAAGGTAGGGACCAGGAAGTGAGGACACATCCCTAAAATGAGCTCAATTAGCACTGCAAAGAGTCCCATGTGTGCGCTAAATGCGAGGCATGCCAGGCAAAAGTGCTGAATGTAGTGATAGTGGAAGGTGCCAGCCGCCAGGTGGGCTAAATGCAGGGGTAGAGTGTCCTAGCTAAAGACTGCGATAGTGTGGGGAAAATTGCCAAATGTCACGTGAGCAAAGTTGGAAAAGGGGCTGAGTGTGCCAATGCAGAACTCGCTGGTAGTAAGAGGACCAAGATGGCAGAGTTTCCTGTTTAACTAGCTGAGAAGGCTGAATATTAGGGGTGTGCCGATCTGGCCGTACGCATATTCGTAATCGTATGTGTAATGATACTCGTGATCAGATTTAAAAAAAAAAAAAAATTTATATGCCTAAGTAGATCTCCCTGCACGTTTATAGACCAAAAAAGCTGCAGATTAGGAGCAGCGCACGGAGGGGTGTGTGTCCTCAACTTGCAGCGGGAAGACAAGTTTGCTGTGGACGGAGAAATACAGCTTCGCTCTATCCAATCGGAGCACTAGGGTCAACGTACAGCCCGCCCGCCCTTTTTACAGACAGGCAAACTAGCCAGTTGAGTTATTTAGACCATGTAGCACCTCACATTGAACATTTTTTTTTTTGATCACAGGTAATTACAAAGTAAAAATCGTATCAGGAAAATGTCCCATATCTGTTTTTTGTCGGACTACTTGGCACACCCCTATTGAATATGCCTATTATAGACCTCTAGAGGCCAAGAGAGGAGTTGCACTCTTTTTCTAGAAGCAAAAATAGTTATTTTTGGTACATTATTTAGATTAAACTCTGAAATGTCTAAACGTTGAATACAGACTCTCTTAAACTTTGTGTAAATGTTTTAAGTAGACTGAAACTTTATGTAAAAGTTGAGTGGACTCTGAAACGTTGTCTGAAGGTTGTGAGTAGGAGACTCTCTAAACGTTGTGAGTAAACAACACTGTCTGTCTTTACAGGCCTTCAGAGAGGGTTCTAGAAAATCCATGAGGATGAAGGTAAGATTAATGAAAATCCTGAGGATCTTCTGTTTAGTTATATATCAATGTATACTACTACACATTTCAACTTCACAGCATTAGTGTATACGGTGAAGAAAGACCAAATGTTGTCATCAGTGCCACTTTGTGTCGCACCAGGAATCCATTGTGACCTATGTTCCATTGAGCATAACACAAAGACACCCATAACCTTATTATGATACGGTGCAGGTGATCTAGAGCACAGTGCATTACCCAGCCTCCCACCCATGATAACCCATGCATCTCTAAGCACTTTCACATAGTATGGCTCCAAAGCAAGAAGAAACACATGTTGTAGACCTGAAATAAGTTCATTTATTTTTAACACGACACGGCTCTGAAGGAAAAACTCTCCTCCCACCCTCCCCCAGAACTCCACCACGGAGGCCAGCGCGGTGGACGAGACTACAGCGGAGGGCTGGGAGAGCCGCATCCGCCAGTGGACGGACCAGTACGAGGAGGCTACAGCCAACCAGTACAGCGCTGACATCCAGACACTGCTCCAGCTGCACCGTGCCGTTACCGCCGAGGGCGTGGTGAGTGAGACAACCTCACCGGCCCAGGTCAACGCCTCGGCGGACACCATGGACACAATTAACCGCACAGAGCTGGCGTGCAACAATACGGTGCTGGGCTCTCAGATGCAGTTACAGCTGGCGCGGGTGACGCGCATGCAGAACCACAGGAAGATCCTGCGGGCGGCAAGGGATCTAGAGCCAGATACCCTGATCATCGAGTACCGGGGCAAGGTCATGCTGAAACAGCAGTTTGAGGTCAACGGACACTTCTTCAAAAAGTATGCAATCTCTGAAATAAGGTGAAATATTCATACGCTGTGGAGGAATTGTGTTAAACTGCACCAGTGTTTTAAAAATGTTTTATGGAGGAAATGTAGGCTGTATTCAGAATAAACATACTAGCACTGTAAAATATTATGCAAAAATGGCAAGTTTGACATTATTTTGACTTTTGTTTTAGGCCCTACCCCTTCGTGCTGTTCTACTCCAAATTCAACGAGGTGGAGATGTGCGTGGACGCGCGGACGTTTGGGAATGATGCACGCTTCATCCGGAGGTCCTGTACGCCCAACGCAGAGGTCAGCCATCTTGGTTTTGTTAGTTTGTTTTCTTCAAGAAAGGCATTGGATGCATCTCAATCGTCTCCCTCTCCTCATCTCCGGTCCTTAGTTCACAGCACTCATTTGAAGTCTCAGGTCAGGTGAATTTAGGTCAGTCAATCAATCAAATGTATTTAAAAAGGCCGTTTTTTACATCAGCAGATGTCACAAAGTGCTGTACAGCAAACCCCAAAACCCAGCCTAAACCCAGCCTAAAACCCCAAACAGCAAGCAATGCAGATGTAGGTCTCACCTGCCCAGATCTCTGACGTCAGTGTAGATTAAGGAAAGGAGATTAGGAGAGCAGGCCACTTAAGACTATTGAGACGCACCCTTCTAGAGGGAAATGGATACAGTTATGTTTCCATCTCCTTGATAGAAGACTAGCCTTCTGTTTCCTCTCCAGGTTCGGCATATGATCGCCGAGGGCATGATCCACCTCTGTGTCTACGCTGTCACGCAAATCACCAGGGACGCCGAGGTCACCATCAGCTTTGACTACGAGTTCAATAGCTGGTCAGTATCAATGAATCAGTGGTATCTATAAAAGCCTTTTTTACATCAGCAGTTGTAACAAATGGCACAAAAGACTGTTTCTCTCGCCTGTGTCTCGACCCTACAGCAGCATCTTTGGGGTTCAGAAAAGTGTGATGAAAATCCTATGTATTATCATTATTACAGTAACTATAAGGTGGACTGCGCCTGCCACAAGGGCAACCAGCAGAACTGCCCTGTGCAGAAGCATAATCTGAACCCGCGCGAGACCCTACTCTGCCCCGGCACGGGGTTGCTGCCTCCGCCCTCCCAGCTCCCGGGGCACACTGGGGCGGAGACGCGGCGGCGGAAGGCCCGGAGAAGAGAGATGGAAGGGCCGGGCGGGATGTCGGACGACAGTAACCAGCCGCCCGAGGAGAGTGGCGAGGTCCGGGAGACTCTGCAGGGCAACGCCAGCCTGGGCAACAGTGATATCGAGGTGTGTGTGAATCTTGGTGCAAAGACACGTGTGTGTGTGTGTGTAAGTGTACAGTTAACGTTGAGGTGTGTGTGTGTGGCAGTTTGTAATGGAATGTGGTGCTGTCCCACTAAGACACACTGGTGTGTGTGCACTGTGCAATTAAAATGTACGACATTTAACATTCAGAAAGTAATGTGTCTGTGCATGTGTGTTGCAGGAGGGACTCCTCAAGCAGGAGGAAGGAGAGGAGGGCGAGCTGGAAGAGAACGGAGTCCTCATCTCCAGTAGACAGGTATGTGCTGCCTACATCACCGCTCTGACATCATTTCCTGTCACACTGACCAACCCACTGTAATATTATGGAATTGTAGTATTAGTCTTCAGTTCGTAATCCACCCTCTCTGTCGCTGTAGAAGAGGACATCTACCACAGGGGGCATAGATCAGGCCAAACATGAGAGCCTGGAGTCCGAGGAGTGGAGCAGAGGCAACCCCACGGGGGGCATCCAAGCAGGGGTGGGGATAAGCACCCGCCGTGCAACCTACGCCACTGTGAGTCGGACTTTCCTCCCCCCTTAGCGCCACATTCTCTTTTTCAACTTTATGTTCAATTTCAATATTTATCCCCTAACAGAATCTCCCTCTCGGTCTCCAGGAACCCTCCTCAGCAGCCGACGCAGACAAGGCCCAGGCGTCTGCCGCTCCCCTCCCGGAACCCCTCGCACCCCCCAAGCCTCCCCCGGCCCGCTCCTCCAAGCCCCGGCCTAAGAGCCGTATCTCGCGCTACCGCTCCAGCTCGTCGCAGCGCGCCCGGCGCCAGCGGCAGGCCCTGGCCCAGCAGCAGGCGGCCCTGGAGCAGGGGGCGTCGGCTGAGGTGCAGGAAAGCCCCCTGAGGGCCTCCGGTTCAGAGCTGGGGCTGGTGGACGGAGCACTGGGAGCCGGGCAGGTCTTAGACGGAGAAGGCCTGAGTGCTCTGAACAAGGGCATCCTGCGCAGCCTGCCCAAGACCAAGAAGGTGAGCGGGATGGGTCTGGCTTCCAACCACCTTTTTGGGGATTTAATCATCATTATTTATTGAACCAGGATAACTCTTTTGAGGTTAAGAACCTATTTTTCCTTGCTGAATTACAGATTTATAGGCTAATATCAAAACAATACAAATGTCATACAAAAACTTGACAATTTGTCACTAAAAAGTCTCCCCCCACCCTCTAGTATCTGGTGACAGAGTGGCTGAACGACAAGGTGCTGGACAAGGTGGCCCAGCAGGAGGTGCCCACAGTGGAGCGGCAGCTGCGCATCACCACCGACCCCACAGTGCTGGCCACCACACTCAACATGCTGCCGGGGCTGGCGGCCTCGCCACTCATCTGCACAGCGCCCAAGCACTACGTGCGCTTCGGCTCGCCCTTCAACCCCGAGCGCCGGCGCCGGCCCGTCAGCGTGGACGCCAGCTACGGCTCCTTCAAGAAGGTACCAGTGGAGAGAGAAAGAGGGGAGAGTTGTGGGGTTTGGGTTCAATGGAGAATAGGGGTAGATGGGAAATGTAGTGTGATATGTAGCAGGTGCTCGAGAAGGAAGGGGCTGATGGAAGTGGATGCATCCAAATAATCTCTCCTGTCCACTAAAGTGTGCACTTGTTCACTTCCCTATATAAATTAGATAGATTGTTGGTATATTGTCTCAGGCCTACATCTGTTTGTATCTATCCTATGTTCAGAGATGGATCCAACAAGCCCAGGACGAGAGCGGGCTTTGCTCGGGGGGCCTGGAGGACGGCACCGAGTCCACCTCCTCTCACCAAAGTAACAGCAGCAGCTCCACCCCCAACCCTTTCAAAGCCGGTATCTACCACTTTTTACTCTGTTCACTGTCTACTAACAAGTCTAGTAGTGTTTCTAATCTAGTATAGACCTGGTTTCAAATACTGTCCGAAATCTTTCAAATACATTGAGAATTCGCTTTAGGCTGGGTTTGCACTTTTGGGACTTTTCTATTGGTTCCATCTTTCAAATACATTAAGCATTCGCTTTAGCCTGCCAGGTGGGCTGGGTTTGCACTTTTGGGACTTTTCTATTGGTTCCACTACAACAGGCAAGCTCAATCAAGCACAGCTACAATATTTGAAAGGATTTAAAATAGTTTTTTGAACACAGGTCTGGTATAGTAGTCTTGAAGTTGGAGGTTATGCCAATATGATCTAATAATAAATGTTAATTCAACATTGGTTATTAATCTATTGTTTTACCTACTTTGTCCTAATTAGTCAACCACGCACATCATCTAATTTTTAATGAACCTAACCCCAAATGAAGATCCTTTTAATCATCGGCATATGCTGACACCTGTCACAGCAGATAATCAAACGCTGTTGCTTTCTTTCCGCTCGCGCTAAAAAGAACTGGCGGCACCCCCCAAGAAGCGGTGGTCCATCTACGGCCCGGAGGCGGCTCCACCGCTGCCCGGCTCAGAAGAACACAGTCTGCTTCTGCGGCCCCTGTTGCCCATCACGCCCCCACTGCCCTCAGACCACCCCGTGCTCAGCCCTGCCTCCTACGCCGGCGCCGCGATGCTAGGTCGCTACGGCGACGAGGAGCACCGGCTGTCCAATGGCTACTCACCGCTGCCCTCGCTGCCCACCAGCCGCTGCAACACGCCACTGCAGTTTGAGGTACCGGGGACACGGAGAACACCCCTAGAAAACACACACACAAATATGACATACTGAAATACACACACACACACATACAAAACCACACACAGTCGATGGGCCACAAGAACATGAAACTTCAGCATTGTGAACTACAGTGCATATGCATGGTTGTTTTCACTGTACTACCTATCTGTTTGTAGTGGTGTTTTACGTCTCTCTCCCCCTCTCCTACCCATCCAGAACATATCGTCTCCAGAGGCCTCTCCTGTGCACAGGCCGGGGTCCATCTCTCCAGAGGTAGGCACCCACAGACCCAGATCAGCTGTTAGAGCACTGAAGCCAGGGCTAGATGGTATTCGCTTTAGTCTCACGGGACAGGGAACACAGGGTCCGGTGAGGGCAGTTTTGTGTTGCAGGGTTTATCTTGTAACTCTGTTCTCCTCCTCTGCTCCACCTATAGCCGTGCCTCCGGCCAGACTTTGACGCCCAGCGCTGCGCCCTGCAGTTTCCCGACCTCTCCCTCTCCTCGGGCCTGGAGAGCCCTGTGCCCGCCATGTCAGACGACTTCACTCTCCTCTCGGCAACGGGGCCTCATCCTCCTGACACACAGGGGCCGCTCACTCCCTTGGCGCCGGGTACCCCGTCCGAGTCGGCCCAGCAGGCCAGAGAGCAGAGCTTCAGGACGGAGTTCAACCTCATCTACACCTGCTCCCCGCTCAACGCTAACCTGGGCAACCCTGCCCCCGCTGCCCCCACTGACAGGCGCCTCAGCCAATCAGAGGGCAGCTACTCCCCGGCCGAGTCCTTCTACAGCGCCGTGAATGGCCAGGGGATCCTGGCTGAGGCGGGGCCTGGCTCGCTGTCGCCCTACAGCGAGCCGCACTATGGCGGTTGCTACCCGGACGGCGGTACGCCACCCCACCACACCAGCAACCCACCACAGAAGAAGAAGGCAAGTCCTCCAACTCTCTCAGCTTCTTCCTGCTTTTGTTTTTTCCCCCCCTCAAAATTATACTGTTAATAAAGTTAAATTCCCAAATGGGGGTACGATAAGTAGGTCCGTAGCGGTAGTATGGAAGTAGTACCTACATGCTTATTGGTATAAAGTCCCAATTTTGAGTGGAGAGTGATATTGAGACTGTGGTATGTGAAAACTTAAAGGATACTCAGTCATGTTGTGATCTTCCCTTGCTTTGTGTTTTCTATTCACTATGTGTCAAATAGATCAATCGTTCTCAGTGAATCCACATCGACATAATTAAATCAAAATAGACGTTGGGTAATAATTTTCCAAAACATCTACATGGTTTTTTATTTTGACAAATTGTTACATTTATCTTTTCTGTTGTCTGTCAGTTGGCCCCATTGACTTTCAACTGTCTTTAGAAACGAATAATGCGGGACTTCTAGAATGATTTACACATTTCTTTCTTTATGTGTCTACTGTCTTTCAAACTGCAGCTATTCCAACAGGTTGTGTGTTCTGTCTTTCCTACTGCAGCTATTCCAACAGGTTGTGTGTTCTCTTTCCTACTACAGCTAGCCCAACAGGTTGTGTGTTCTGTCTTTCCTACTGCAGCTATTCCAACAGGTTGTGTGTTCTCTTTCCTACTACAGCTAGCCCAACAGGTTGTGTGTTCTCTTTCCTACTGCAGCTAGCCCAACAGGTTGTGTGTTCTGTCTTTCCTACTACAGCTATTCCAACAGGTTGTGTGTTCTGTCTTTCCTACTGCAGCTATTCCAACAGGTTGTGTGTTCTGTCTTTCCTACTGCAGCTATTCCAACAGGTTGTGTGTTCTGTATTTCCTACTACAGCTATTCCAACAGGTTGTGTGTTCTGTCTTTCCTACTACAGCTATTCCAACAGGTTGTGTGTTCTGTCTTTCCTACTGCAGCTAGCCCAACAGGTTGTGTGTTCTGTCTTTCCTACTGCAGCTATTCCAACAGGTTGTGTGTTCTCTTTCCTACTGCAGCTATTCCAACAGGTTGTGTGTTCTGTCTTTCCTACTGCAGCTAGCACAACAGGTTGTGTGTTCTCTTTCCTACTGCAGCTAGCACAACAGGTTGTGTGTTCTCTTTCCTACTGCAGCTAGCCCAACAGGTTGTGTGTTCTCTTTCCTACTACAGCTAGCCCAACAGGTTGTGTGTTCTGTCTTTCCTACTGCAGCTATTCCAACAGGTTGTGTGTTCTCTTTCCTACTACAGCTAGCCCAACAGGTTGTGTGTTCTGTCTTTCCTACTACAGCTAGCCCAACAGGTTGTGTGTTCTCTTTCCTACTACAGCTAGCCCAACAGGTTGTGTGTTCTGTCTTTCCTACTACAGCTAGCCCAACAGGTTGTGTGTTCTGTCTTTCCTACTGCAGCTATTCCAACAGGTTGTGTGTTCTCTTTCCTACTACAGCTAGCCCAACAGGTTGTGTGTTCTGTCTTTCCTACTACAGCTAGCCCAACAGGTTGTGTGTTCTCTTTCCTACTACAGCTAGCCCAACAGGTTGTGTGTTCTGTCTTTCCTACTACAGCTAGCCCAACAGGTTGTGTGTTCTCTTTCCTACTACAGCTAGCCCAACAGGTTGTGTGTTCTGTCTTTCCTACTACAGCTAGCCCAACAGGTTGTGTGTTCTGTCTTTCCTACTGCAGCTATTCCAACAGGTTGTGTGTTCTGTCTTTCCTACTACAGCTATTCCAACAGGTTATGTGTTCTGTCAACCCTCTCACTCCCCCATGCTCCTCCTGAAACCTTTGCCAAGTCTTTCTTCCACTGTTTTTTCCAAGGCAGAGGGCCATCCTGCAAACCGTTAGTCTGCTGACAGGACAGCCAGATTACCAGGCTATAGCAGTAAGACGTGAATACAAGACAGTACAAAATATGGTGAATATTTCCATACGACCATTTAGAAGTGTGCATGTAAATATTGTTTTGCATTTGCATACAAACTCCACCCCCGTCCCCCAAACCCCCCTTCTCCAAAAACGTACCATGAGTATCATCTATTTATCTAAACATCTCTATATCCGAAACATGGTCACCCCATCGGCTCGGAGCGCCGTACGACGAGGCTGATGGTTCATGATATCATCTTCAGCCTGGCGAGGTTGGGCTAGGCCCTGCTGGCTTCACTGGCCATTCGTCTACGGTCCATCTCATCCATAGTTCTGTCCTCCTGTGCCTGCATCCCCTTTCACCAGCCTTGACCCACGCCCAAGTCAGATCATACCAGCAGTATGGCCAATGCCCATCTAAGACCCATACTAGCAGCCCTTCAAGAGGCACCCCTAAGGGTCCAAGGACAATCAGAAGGCCCATAAAATAAGCATTTGGAGCCTGAGAAGCTGTTCTAAGGGCCCAAGCGGTATCAAAAGGCTTTAACAAATACAGTAGTCCTCAGATCCCAAGACCCTAGTGCGTGGCCATTCTTCAAGTCCTAAGGCCCTGATGGCAACTCTAAGGGTCTAGGTGTCCCCCTACCCTTCTCTACGCCCTCTTTGGGTTCAGCTCGCCGCCCCCCGATAGCCCTGATATCGGACTGTCTATTCAGCCAGCCTGCTCCATATCTCTCACCCCACCCCCCTGTACCCTCCTTGAATCTGCTGCCTTTGCCATGACATCATTCCGCCGGACTGTTCTCTCTCATTGTCGCTGAGTGTGGGTATATGTACCGGGCTGTTCTCTCTCATTGTCGCTGAGTGTGGGTATATGTACCGGGCTGTTCTCTCTCTCATTGTCTCTGAGTGTGGGTATATGTACCGGGCTGTTCTCTCTCATTGTCTCTGAGTGTGGGTATATGTACCGGGCTGTTCTCTCTCATTGTCTCTGAGTGTGGGTATATGTACCGGGCTGTTCTCTCTCATTGTCTCTGAGTGTGGGTATATGTACCGGGCTGTTCTCTCTCATTGTCTCTGAGTGTGGGTATATGTACCGGGCTGTTCTCTCTCATTGTCTCTGAGTGTGGGTATATGTACCGGGCTGTTCTCTCTCATTGTCTCTGAGTGTGGGTATATGTACCTTAGTGAGTGCTCTGTGGTTCTGTTTTTGTTGTGTTCCTTGTTTTCTGTTTTGTGTCTGACCTCGCAGTGGTTGCTTTGTGTGATGTTTCATTTGATGATGATGACGACAAGTTGCCGGTGCTGATGTTAGATTTTGACCCGTTACTAACTATCCATAAAACATAAAAAGGCTTCAAAAGGCAAACAGAAGGTTGGTGCCTGACAAAAAAACTGAACATGTTTGCTTCCCGATTCTGGTAATGGCATTGATGACAATACTCTGGTACAAAAATCTAATTTTGTTGGCATTCAGCAGGGGTTTGTCCCAACACTGTAAGGACAGAGTGCTAAAGCTACACGGGATTGTTTCGTTGTCTTTTGTCTTATTGTCAAAGTCAACTCATTCCAATGACCATCCCTCCCAAGGTATTGTATTTTTGCACTTACCAACGTCAGATAACCACGTCAACAGAGGATGACGTTGACCCATCATGGAACAAAATAGAACTTCCAGGATGGTAGACGTATTCAATCATCGACCAGTGGTTGCTCTTCCAGTTAAGGGCTCTACACAGTCTATGCAACGGATCCGACGGAGATTAGTTTGCGTTGTTCTCTACAGTACGTAATTTTACGTACTTTTGTGCTGCTGAATTTTTGGAACACCACTCAAACGGAGCTCGGTAGCTCCATTTGCGTAGACTGTGAAAATACTGTGGAGAGCCGTTTAGGGTTTGGGAACATTTTGGATGTTTGGTCTATGGTCAATCAGCTGGTAACATTCAAGGTCGAGTCGTTTAATAGTTGACATGGTGCATGACTTTGTCTGTCCATACCGCTCTGGTGAATGATAACTGGTGTTTCAATGCAACCAGTGGTATTGTGTGACATTGTGTGTGTGACCTCATGGGACTAAGGCTGTACATATGGCTGACTTGGAGTGGTTATTTTCCCTCGACTCCTCAACTCCTCAGGTGTCTCTGCTGGAGTACCGTAAGAGGAAGCAGGGGAGCAGCAAGGACCCCGAGCACGGGGGCAGCTCCCTGGGCACCCCCACCCGCCTCGGCTCCCCCGGAGGCCCCCGTTCCCTCCATCTGCAGCCCCCGGCCTCCCCCCACAGCTCCTTCTCCTCCCCCCCCCAGATGGAGGAGGTGAGCCCCCCAGATAACCACCACCACACCACCGTCTCCCACGCTGTGGGACCACCAAAGCAACAGCAGCCCAGGGATCAGGAGGGCACCAGCGACTGGTAAGACTAGACATCGCTGCCACACCACATTCTCTCACAGCACTTTGTTCCCTGTTTTCAGACATATCCACCTTTGCTGTCCCACCTTTTTTTATGTTGTGTTGTGGGGTTGACTGGTGTTTGAGACTATTTGCTTGGGAAGGTGGGACCATTAGCAACCTGAGCCCCATGCAGTGTCTCCAGACATAGCCAGCTCATCTGAACATAAACCCCTTGTGTGATTGAACGTACTGTACATGACGGTGTTGGTGTTTTGCTTTGATACAGGATGGTGCCCACGACAGTAGAGCGGCTGAGGGAGGGCCAGGGCGTCTTGGAGCGGGTACTAAGGGGCTCCCTCAAGATGGACCGCATGCTGAAGAGGACAGACGGCTCGACTGCTGACAAGGACCCTGGTACTGCACTCGTTTTCACTACCAGTTTATCGTTTTCACATGAATGTGGCATAGTAGAAAGTTCAGACCAGATGTCCTCCTGTCCCCATTGTAGTCTGAAATATAGACGTCTAGGTGTGTTTAGGCTGAAGTCCAGGTTTGTCTTGTCTGAAATGTAGATATCTAGCCTAATTTGAAACACAGACGTTTGCCGAATTCAGAGGTTCAGAGGTTTCAGGGAATGCGCATGCATGTACCATCTGTTCTCCTGTTACATTTGATTTTACATTTGAGTCATTTAGCAGACGCTCTTATCCTGAGCGACTTACAGTTAGTGAGTGCATACATTTTTCATGTAAGCGTGTGTCCTGTTGTGTTTATCCCAGATGCAGACCGGTATGAGATCCAGACAGTTCCCCTGGCCTCTCCCATGAAGAGCCCACAGAGATACATCCCGTCAGTCTACACTCACCAGGTATGGTGTCCTACGTCATTTGTGAGAATTTAGTGTTTCGTTTTGTCTGGGCTGATTCTTGTTTTGTCTGGCCAGAGGTGTAATCATTACTCAAAAGAGTTGCAAAACGTTCTGTTTTGCATCGGAAACGAGTGTTTCTGTTGGACAGGTTCAGCAAACCAGGAGAGACCTACCTGAATCTGTCCAATAGAAACGCTATATTTCGTTGCAAAAAATAATGTTTTGCAACTGTTTTGAGTAATGATTACACCCCTGGTTTTTGTTTTGTCTGGCCTGTTGTTTTTTTTGTTGGCACACTTGTGTTTGGATGTTAATTAGTTCTAGGTGTGTACTGGGTGTCAAGTTAATTGTAAGTACTTTGTGTGTTTGTCGTTCTAAGGTGCAGCCCCCCTTATCGGAGAGCCACCAGCAGACAGCGGACAGTCCGGCCTTCCTTCAGCAGAGTGCGTCCTCTCCATTCCATGGCTCCTACAGCCCCTCGGCCCCCCCTCCCTCAGGTCAGGGCTTCTACCCTCGCCTGTCCTCCCACCCCGCCCTATCCCAAGACCACTCGCAGCAGCATCCACAACAGCCCCTCAACTCCCCGTCCTCTTTTTCCAACCAAACCATCTCTGCAGACTCAGCCCTGTGTGGGGCCTCCAGACCGCCAGGAGGCGCCCTGCACCAGCCGAGCAGCAGCAGCAGTATGGATGGGTCCCACGTGTACAGCGCCGGGAGCCAGCTAAAAGCCAGCCTCTTGAATAGCGGGTTGTCAGGGTCTCCTACCCCTGGCTCCAGGGCTCACGGCAACCCTAAAACAGACTTGGGCGCCAGTGCAGCGGGGAACCACGCCTCCAGACTGAGCCAGCAGCTGGCGTCCCGGAGCCTGAAACCAGGCAGCCCCGGGCAGACGGTGCTGCAGGCCGGCTCCAGGCTCCTGGCGGCCAACGCCAGCCAACACTACCCGCAGCGCGGGGCACCACTCAGTCAGTTCCAGCACCCCCCCATACAGGGGTCGGGAGTAAGGACACAGTCAGGAAGCTTTTAGGATGTTGTGTTTGTGTGTGTGTTTTTGCGTGAGCGTAAGTGAAATAGTGTACCTCCTCTCCTAAACCCTCTGGAGAAACTAGGCTTGGGGATATGTACAGACCTCAGAGGAGCGAAGACTCAGCTTCTTCTAATTCTCCTTTCTTATTTTCTGTCTTTCTTTTTGTGGAAAACAATTTACTGCGTTCTGCGCCTAGCTAATCGAGGAACTTCAACATCCTCAAGGAATCAATGGAAAAAAATTAAATAATAAATGTTCAACAAAAAAGAGAAATCATTTGTAATTTGAAATTACCCTGACATGAACAGACTGCGTAAAACAGGCTAAGGAGATGGTGAAACTAAACCACGAGTATCTGTACAGTGTTTTTGTTTTTGAAGAAATGTACCTGTTGTTTTGGTACCTGGTTTGATAATGCTGAGATGGCAGGTGTAACTCAGCAGAGATTTTGTCGAGGTAACTTTTTGTTATTTGGCCAGCAGCCGGGCCAGTCCTGCAAGTATACATGTGTTTAGTTTGGAAAGGGGAAACGATACCAGCGAGAGCGTATATGTGTATCATCAGTTATAAAGATGCAGAGAGGGTGGCAGTCAAGAGCTCCCTAAAAATCATTCCGTATGATTTCTAACTTTTTGTGTAAAACATTTTTCTGAAAACTCTTGATCTGTATTTTACTGTTTTTCTTCTGCTCTTTTTTTTCTTCCCCACTTGACTGTTTTGATTTGATGTATTACTACTTCTCAGTAGATTTGCTATAATGTACTTGAGTCATACAGATCTTGTAATTCATGGTGCTGCAGTTGTTTTCGTTTTAAGTTATTTACAGTTAAATCCAGTTATGTTTCCCACAAATCGGTTGATTCAACTTGCCATCTGTAATTTGGAATCAAACTTTTGCCAGAAATACATCCTAGTAATCGTTAAAACCCTTGTATTGTGCTGGAATGCAGGGACAGAGTGAGAAGGAAGAAGCAGAAGAGGATTTGTTTTCTTTACTCCGTTGTTGGGTTTGTCGTCTTTTGAATCCTGTCGGATTCTTTTTATTAAAATGTATATAGAGAATATATTTTTTCTCTCCTTCTGACCATTCCTTGCATTCCATATGCCACCTAAGAAAACAGGAGGATGGTTTGAACAATATAAAAAGAAAAGGCTGCTGTGTTCTCCTTATTTGTTGCTGCTTCAAGAAGTCTCACTTTCCACAGAATGCTGTACCCCCATTTTAGTAGGGTCCTCACCAACTCAATATAAAACAAAAATATGAAAATCACAACACAAAGTTTATCAAGTCATGTGCCATGACCACAGCAGTGGGACTTTTAATCAACGTTAAATGACATTGCTGATGCACACAGAGTTGTAGTCTCCTAGTGACAGACTAGACCGCAGGAAGATGGAAATCATTCGGACTGGAATTTCTAGTTTGGTTGGGAGTAAATGTCTTTGGGGCCCCAGGAACCACACTGGGGCTTCTGACAGAGGGACTGGCCAGCTTGACCGGACACTTGACCTTTCCTCTTATTGCCTCATCCACAGACATAAGGGTACTCACTTGTTACATGAATGTTTGACAGAAGACTTCTGAGAAATGTCACCCAAAACTACCAGCACCTTAAGTAAAGAAAGAAATACCCCCTAAAATGAAACTACAATGTATGATCATGTGTACTTGTATAAAATGTGTTAAACTGTACAAAGAGAAATATAGTACACTAAATTTGCCGCATGATATTTCTTTTCTGGGTCTGACCGACTGACAGGTGGATTGGGATGATTAGGTCTGTCCAGAAAGTCTTCACTTTCCACTACCGGAGAAACTGGACACTGCATTTTTTGGGGGGGAAATTACGTTTAACTCATTTTGTTTTATTTTTTACACAGCATAGTGGTGACTATTTGGACTCCCCCATCCAAAAGATAAAGCAGAAGAGATGTAATGCATTTTGATAATAAAATACTGATGATAATGTATTTTGAAAAATTGCCCTTTTGATATTTCATGCACTATGGTGTATATACCCGTTCTCAAAAATCTGTTCAAGAAATAGTGAACATTTCTTTACATAGTATGTAACACTGCCATGTTTTATTTGAAAGAATTGATTATATACTGTACACACAGTGAAGTGAATGGTGAAATATCTCCTTAGCCTGACAAACCAGTCGACGAGTAAGGCTAGGGAGTCACCCTGTGAGTAAGGCTGAGTTTAAACTCCATGGACAAGCTTTCTGCTGAGCAATTCGTCACTGACGCTTGCGTAACGTTACACATTCTGCCACGCACCGTTCAAATCTCAGTGCGGTAAAGTCGCAAAGTGGCTGCAGAGCCTCTATGGAGCATGCATAGTGGATTGTAAATCCAGCCTAGGTTTGTGAAGTTGACTGATGGCGCTCTCGCGCCCTCACATTGAAAACCTAGCAGTCTGACATACAGAAGACTGAACACCTACAAAGGAACCGATAGGAAAATATCACGAGGATACAGCTATAGACCTTTGTAACACTGCACGGTAATGAAGGGTATCTGGTTGAGATATGAGGGCCACACTCGGGCAGTGGCGGTAATAGCGTCGACATCTATAGCATCACGCCATTTGTCTTGCGGCTTGTCACGAGGTCAAATAAAAAATTTATTTGTCACATGCTTCGTAAACAACAGGTGATACAATTTTGACATACATGGTCGGAGTCCTCTTAGAAGGGCAATGCAGTTGGGTGGTTCACCAAACTACTCAGTTGGTCGCTTACGCCTCGATCACACCGACAGCGGCATTGCATTTTGGTACACCAGAAGTACATTCATTTCCAATGGAATGCTGCGTTTGCCTTGCAGCATTGCGTCGCAGAGGCAGTTGCCGTGTGTTCTGTTTATCGAACGTATGCGTCAAACAATGCGTAGACGGCTTGACCGAAATGGTAGCAGAAGGTGAATGTTGAACTTTTGTTGCACACATATCCAGAGGATGCTGCTTACTATTTTGCGCTATCAGTGTGATCAAGGCCTTACACCTCAATCACACCTACAGCGCTATCAGTGTGATCAAGGCCTTACACCTCAATCACACCTACAGCGCTATCAGTGTGATCAAGGCCTTACACCTCAATCACACCTACAGCGCTATCAGTGTGATCAAGGCCTTACACCTCAATCACACCTACAGCGCTATCAGTGTGATCAAGGCCTTACACCTCAATCACACCTACAGCGCTATCAGTGTGATCAAGGCCTTACACCTCAATCACACCTACAGCGCTATCAGTGTGATCAAGGCCTTACACCTCAATCACACCTACAGCATCATTGCGCAAAATGGTATGCTGCGTCATCTGGATATGTATGCAACAAAAGTTCAACATTCACCTTCTGCAACCATTTCTGTCAAGCCGTTGACAAACGCAGCATTCCATTGGAAATGAATGTACTTTTGGTGTACCAAAATGCAATAACACTGGCGGTGTGATCGAGGCGTTAGATCAGTGGTCACTAAAGTAAGGAGAGGAGGGCAGGAAGCTGAGCAAGCATATTGGGATGATAGGAGACTGACTGAACACTGTAGTTGCTTGCTACTTTTTATGGTACTTGTGTTTGAGAACACCTTATTGGAATCCAAGCCAATTACAACATGCACGCACACACACACTCACTCTCTGTCCCCCTACACACATTCATTAAAAACGAAGGATGAAACTTTTGTTGTTGAGTCATTACATTTGGGAATTGGTTCCTTCTTTGCAAGAACAAGTTCCAAATTGAAGGTTTGTTGTGGTCTGTTCTCTGCATGGTAACTGGTTCATTCAATGGGTTGTCCACTGCCAGTCTTGCTATCGTGTATTTTGACTGTAGGGGGGCATAGGTGTCTGTCTGTCTGTCTGTCTGCCTTCACCAGATCCAGCTGTAGGCTTGACACGCCACCTCCGGGAACTCCTTATAAACCACGCGGTAGCCACACTCAGTTGGAATCCGCTGGCAGTTGTTGGGCCAAGTGGTAGGTTTCATCCGTCTGGGGATACGAACGAAAAAAAGACACGTGATATTGGCAAAAACTGAATTCATGTTTGGTTTCTATATTTCACTGTTGCATACGGTTAATATTTTCATATCAGTCACTAATCTGGTCCGTTTACTCACGAGAGGCAGAAGTAGCCATTTTCGTGGCAGTAGCACTTGTCACAACCCCTGTAGAAGGTCTGTCCAGGCTGAAACGGAACCTCTTTATAGATACACGGACCTGCAGTCAATTAATACAGAGAACAATTGACATTGATAATGGTACAGGTTGTTACATTGCACTTTCAGATGTAATCTGTCTATGGCCAGGTGTTGCAAAACTCCTTAGTAAGGAAAGTAGCTATTGGCTGTCCTAAAAGTCGCTAGACGTCGTTAAATGACGTGATCGCCTAATTTACATAATTGGCCATGTGCATGTAATTGTGATGGATGCTGTAGGAGAGAGGAATAACGTCCTAGGAGAGACAAAAAAGTGAGTAAAAAACACCCTACATTTACATCCCGCCCTGAATGTAAGACAGTGCGGGATCAGCCAGCGGCGGCTTCCCGCATGCGCGATTCATTTGCAGTCTGGACGCGGAGGGGTGAACATCTCCTGCTCTGACTGCAGCTGGGAGGGACTGCTGCGCGAGGACTGCCCCGCCTGTGAGTGCTTTGGGACGGGGGTAACAAAGCACCCGCTGCTCGTTGAACGTGCTTTCACGTCAGAGTCTCCAATAACACCAGAAAAAGTCGCTAGATTTGTCGCTAGTCGATTTTTTGAAAATGTGTCGCTAGAGGGGTCTGAAAACTCGCTAAATATAGCGACAAAGTCCCTAAATTGGCAACACTGTCTATGGCATGCACAATTGCAAGGATTTGCAAATACACTCACGCGAGAACTGCGTGATCCTAAACTGCATTACTTCAGCTGGCCAGTAGATGGAGATGTTCTACTAAACTTCTGAACGGTAAAGCCTTCCATACTAAAGAAGCGGTGACCCAAACTTGAGAAATATATTCATTAAATGTATATGAAAATGCATTATCACAGATGTGATTTTAATTTATGGTACAATCTTTATCTAGACTGATTTGTTGAGGTTTTCTGGTAATTTATGGGGTTATGTTGAGTAGTTTGTTTTGTCAAGTCACTTCAGTTGATGGAAGAAATGTGTGTGAAATGTTTCTATTTGACCCAAGCCAAATTAGATTATTTATAGTTTATATACTTTTTCTTTTTTTCACACCAAGGTAGAACGGAATTTATAGTAGAACGGAACGTATAGAAGCCCCTTAAAATAAGTAATGTATTGTTCTAGGGAGAAATTACTAAACATCTTACTGTGTTAAAGTGAGCCTTCAGAACTTTTGTATAATTTCAGACAGTAGTTTTGAAAGTGGTGCTCACGAGCCGAAATGGGTCCCTGTTTTTTGTGTACAGCGTCATCCATTTCGTATGTTATGTCCTGCAAAGTTTTATGATATGTTACGAATCCAAATCATACAATATGTTACACATTTGTTGTGCTTAATATCTCAAACTGCATCTTCCAATTGCTCAGATTCTTAAAAACAGGCAACACCTGAAGAACCCTCCATGAACCCTTTTTTCTAAGAGTGTATGTAATCAAGGTTGTACTGTACCTGCGTGTCTGTAGATGGCTGCCTGTGTGACTTGACTGAAGGACAGACACAAAGCCCAGAGACAGACTGACATGCCGGGTCCAAATGCACTTCTCATCCACGCCATGCCGGCCCGACTCCACTCCAAGAAGTCACAAGAAAAAATAAACTAAGAAATCTCTCTGAGGAAGAAACAGGTCTTTACACTCTACTAACCTCCCGACAGCAGACGCTAATCGAGGGGAGTGAGTGAACAGCTATGGTTTTTAGTGAGAGAGCGTGAGTGCCGGAGGCCGGTGTGTGAAGAAGCTGGGAAAAGGTTCTTTAAGCGAGGGGGGTACCAGATGGTTCGTCTGAGCTCTGTCAGAGTGTGGAAGTCTTCATTCTCACTGCTCGGCGCTCCATCCAGATGGCCTTTATACCTGCCCAACACCTGCTCTGACAGCCGAGGTACCGCACAGCGGAAAAAGACAGGGAGAGAGCGAGAGGGTGGGAGATGCCTGAGACTAAACGTTTCTGTGCTTGTTTCTTTCCTCCCTATCTGTGCCAGGGAGCACCCCCCACCCCGAAGATGTTGTGGGGGTGCTGAGGAGTATTTTTTACCGCTCTGCTGACAAGTATTTTTCTCTGCTCAAACAGGAGTAATAAAGGCCTAGTGCACACATTTGTTTATTTACCAGAGGGTGCTGCGCGCCCCGACTTCTCGCGACTATGCCCCCATCCCTCATTGTCTGGCTCTCCCATCTCCGTTCTGGAGTGCTCTCTCTCTGGGTCGACTGGGGTATTGGTTCGTCTCGGTCCAGGTCGACTGGGGTTTGGTCCGTCTGGATCTGGGCAAAGGGAAATGTTCCACTAAATATTTTGATATTTCTTCTGACTCATTGGGTTTATATGAGCAAAGCGCAGCTTCCGGAATGTTAACGCTAGGTGTGGAATGCGGACCGCTTCGTTTGGGGAATGTCATGTGGGTGTCTGTGGTGTGTATAGTACTGTAGTATGCTGGGTGGCTTCTTCACCCAAACAAACACACGCACACACACACTCAGCCAACCACACCTGGGGTCTTACGTGGGAACGGGCTGTCTTCTACCTCTATCTGTCGTCACTGCCACGCTCTGAATAACAATCACTCAGACGGGAAACTCTGGAGAGCCAACAGACGGAACGGGAACGACAGCCCCTCTGTAAACTAACCCAGTCACCATGACTCAACCCCTTTTTCAATCCCTCCATTCAAGTCTGGGACGTTGGTGGCTCCGGACTTGTTTTTTTGGCCACATTAAATAGTGTTTATTCTCATTTCCCTCCCAACATCCTAACCAATAATTAGCAGCAAACCTACCTTTTGGCCCGACCTCAAGATCTTTGAAAATGATCCAAGCCAGGAGGATACTTGGCTACAGTGGGGAGAACAAGTATTTGATTTTGCAGGTTTTCCTACTTATAAAGCATGTGGAGGTCTGTAATTTTTATCATAGGTACACTTCAACTGTGAGAGACGGAATCTAAAACAAAAATCCAGAAAATCACATTGTATGATTTTTAAGTAATTAATTTGCATTTTATTGCATGACATAAGTATTTGATCACCTACCAACCAGTAAGAATTCCGGCTCTCACAGACCTGTTAGTTTTTCTTTAAGAAGCCCTCCTGTTCTCCACTCATTCCCGTTATTAACTGCACCTTTTTGAACTCGTTACCTGTATAAAAGACCTGTTCACACACTCAATCAAACAGACTCCAACCTCTCCACAATGGCCAAGACCAGAGAGCTGTGTAAGGACATCAGGGATAAAATTGTAGACCTGCACAAGGCTGGGATGGGCTACAGGACAATAGGCAAGCAGCTTGGTGAGAAGGCAACAACTGTTGCCGCAATTATTAGAAAATGGAAGAAGTTCAAGATGACGGTCAATCACCCTCGGTCTGGGGCTCCATGCAAGATCTCACCTCAATGATCATGAGTATCCTGCACCGTATTGAGGGGAGGATGGATGGGGCCATGTATCGCGAGATCTTGGCCAACAACCTCCTTCCCTCAGTAAGAGCATTGAAGATGGGTCGTGGCTGGGTCTTCCAGCATGACAACGACCCGAAACACACAGCCAGGGCAACTAAGGAGTGGCTCCGTAAGAAGCATCTCAAGGTCCTGGAGTGGCCTAGCCAGTCTCCAGACCTGAACCCAATAGAAAATATTTGGAAGGGAGCTGAAAGTCCGTATTGCCCAGCGACAGCCCCGAAACCTGAAGGATCTGGAGAAGGTCTGTATGGAGGAGTGAGCCAAAATCCCTGCTGCAGTGTGTGCAAACCTGGTCAAGACCTACAGGAAACGTATGATCTCTGTAATTGCAAACAAAGGTTTCTGTACCAAATATTAAGTTCTGCTTTTCTGTTGTATCAAATACTTATGTCATGCAATAAAATGCAAATTAATTACTTAAAAATCATACAATGTGATTTTCTGGATTTTTGTTTTAGATTCCGTCTCTCACAGTTGAAGTGTACCTATGATAAAAATTACAGACCTCTACATGCTTTGTAAGTAGGAAAACCTGCAAAATCGGCAGTGTATCAAATACTTGTTCTCCCCACTGTATATACTTTATGTGCATCGCCGGTGATGACATGTTGTTAGATGTGTCAGTTTTTAATGAGGAGAACCTCCTCCATGCACTCACTGTGTCAGCAGAGCCGTTACATAACTGGTTAATTATACCAGCTGATGAAACCCGCTGTCTAATTTTATCTTGCCGCGTCATCCAACCAGTCTCCAGAAAGAGAACCAGCTCGTTGTGGCTATGAGTACATGCATACAATTCCCCCCAAAAAAGTTGCCTCTACATGCTGTACTTGGGTCAGTTTTGTGTTTCCCCCTTTAATGGTTAAGTTAGGATTTGGGAAGCTGATCCTAGATCTGTGCCTAGGGGAAACATCTATGTAACTTCTATGGAGCTCTATGTACATTAGGCGGTGATCAGTGGAGGCTGCTGAGGGGAGAACGGCTCATAATAATGGCTGGAAAGGAGCGAATGGAATAGCATCAAGCATGGAAACCATATGTTTGATGTATTTGATACCATTCCACTAACAACGCTCCAGCCATTACCATGAGCCTGTCCTCCCCAATTAAGGTGACTCCAACTTCCTGTGGCGGTGGTATATATTGAAGCTTATTTCCTATAAGATCTATTGACAAGCTCGTTAGGAGCTTCACAGAAAAAACGTACTCGCACTGCTTGAATTTCAGTCCTAGGTCTGAATGGATGTGCGAGGGGGCTCCATAGAGATAGATAGAGGACTCATCTTTGTATTTGTGCCATTATGGCATCTGTGACAACATGGGCAGCACCATTGAGGCTATTTCCGTTTTAAAGTAGTACATTTTCTTCTTCTTTTGTATTTGCTGACGACACAACAGTGGTAGGCCTGATCACCGACAACGATGAGACAGCCTATTGGGAGGAAGTCAGAGACCTGGCAGTGTGGTGCCAGGACAACAACCTCTCCCTCAACGTGAGCAAGACAACGGATCTGATCGTGTATTACAGGACAAGGAGGGCAGAGCATGCCCCCATTCACATCAACAGGGCTGTAGTGGAGCGGTTCGAGAGCATCAAGTTCCTTGGTGTCCACATCACCAACAAACTATCATGGTCCAAACACATCAAGACAGTCATGAAGAGGGCACGACAACGCCTAAATATTTGGCATGAGTCCCCAGATCCTCAAAACGTTCTACAGCTGCACCATTGAGAGCATCCTGACTGGTTACATCACCGCCTGGTATGGCAACTGCTCGGCATCCGGCTATAAGGCGCTACAGAAGGCAGTGCGTACAGTCCAGTACATCACTGGGGCCAAGTTTCCTGCCATCCAGGAACTCGATACCAGGCGGTGTCAGAGGAAGGCCCTAAACATTGTCAACGACTCCAGCCACCCAAGTCATAGACTGTTCTCTCTGCTACCGCACGGCAAGCAGTACCGGAGCGCCAAGTACATGTACATATTACCTCAACTAACCTGTACCCCCACATATTGACTCAGTACCAGTACCCCCTGTATATAGCCTCGTTATTGTTATTTTATTGTTACTTTTTTACTTTTAGTTTATTTTGTAAATATTTTCTCAACCCTTATTTTCTTAAAACTGCATTGTTGGTTAAGTAACCATTCACAGTAAGGTTTACACCTGCGCATGTGACAAATAACATTTGATTTGATTTGAAAGGGAGAACGCAAGGACGCATTTGAAAGAGTATTCAAAACCTGGGCCTTGATGGGATTCAATCAGCTCAATCTCTTGACTAGCCAAAAGGCACTGTCCTGCCACCCAGCAAGTGTGGCATGATACTGGGTGTAGTAGGACACCTTGGCGCTGGTTCCGCTGGCGCTGGTGCTGGTGCTGGCAGTGCCATCTTCTGGCGGTGCCCCATGATCAAAGTGAAAGGGCCCTGACTGTGCCCTCCACAGGGCTCCTCTGTGGCAGCTTGGCGCCTTCCCCTGGTTGGCTCCTCTCACAGCCTGTTGGCCCCTCTCACAGCCTGTTGGCACTGCCCAGGCCTGTGCCCCCTCCATCCTGCCATCTCATTGGCCCAGCCCGTGGGGAGCCCCCTCCATCCTGCCGTCCCATTAGCCCAGCCAGCGAGGAGCAGACAGGAGACAGCCCGCTGCAGCCAAGCACCAGCCTGACCATCTGGGTCTTCTCTCTATCTCTTTCTCTCTCTCTCTCTCTTACCATCTTTCTTTTTTCCAATTTGCCCAGTTTTGCATTCATTTTCTGCACTCTTTCTCTCATTCTCCCTTTCTCTCTGTATCTCTCCATATTTCTCTTCATGCCTCTTTCTAGCCATAGCTCTATCATGTGACGTTTAACTGTGTGTCGTTCCAGCATTTCAAGCTTCAGTCATAGAGTAAACAGTAGTGTGGAGATCTTTTTAATTGATTGGTTACTGCAGTGTCCATTGTTATGATTATACAGTAGTAAGGGTAGAGCTGTTGAGGTGACATATTATCACCACACCAGCAGTCATGAGTCATGACCACAGTAAAATTCATGGTAATCTCCTCTTTTGCACTCTGGACATGCGTTGGTAGTACCCAACTCGCTAACGACCATCAGGTCGCTATGGCCTGGTACTCAGGTCTCTATTGTCCCTCTAACCACTCTGACATCAATGCAAATGCAGTCGAAAATCACATCAAACACTTATCATCAAAACAGTATCATGCTTTTAAAACTTACCTCACCGTGATCGATCAATTTGAAGAAAAAAGTTCAACAGGTTGACACGGAGTGGAAAACATGGTCGTTGTGGATGTTGTTTCAAAGCCTAACACAACAAAATGGACAGCACTTTCTAAGGTTACGATTCATTCAAAACACCAATACGCATATTGGAGCTTATGCATACGCATAGGCCTACATATGAGCCCAAGGATGAAAAAAAACAAGAATTAAAATAATTATTTTGCCATTATGCAATACATAACCTACCGCATATTACGCACCGCAGAAAAACATTTTAAAAAACTGATTTAAGATGTCTTTGGTACATAATTGGTCTAGAATATACTCCAAAATTAAACAAATTGGAGTAATTGCCTTTGAGTGTGGACTGTATTATTATGCATACTGGATAGACCAGTTACCTTATGCTACGCTCCAAACGTTCTATCCATGAGTCTGGGAGAGAACATATACAGTGGGGAAAAAAAGTATTTAGTCAGCCACCAATTGTGCAAGTTCTCCCACTTAAAAAGATGAGAGAGGCCTGTAATTTTCATCATAGGTACACGTCAACTATGACAGACAAATTGAGAAAGAAAAATCCAGAAAATCACATTGTAGGATTTTTAATGAATTTATTTGCAAATTATGGTGGAAAATAAGTATTTGGTCACCTACAAACAAGCAAGATTTCTGGCTCTCACAGACCTGTAACTTCTTATTTAAGAGGCTCCTCTGTTCTCCACTCGTTACCTGTATTAATGGCACCTGTTTGAACTTGTTATCAGTATAAAAGACACCTGTCCACAACCTCAAACAGTCACACGCCAAACTCCACTATGGCCAAGACCAAAGAGCTGTCAAAGGACACCAGAAACAAAATTGTAGACCTGCACCAGGCTGGGAAGACTGAATCTGCAATAGGTAAGCAGCTTGGTTTGAAGAAATCAACTGTGGGAGCAATTATTAGGAAATGGAAGACATACAAGACCACTGATAATCTCCCTCGATCTGGGGCTCCACGCAAGATCTCACCCCGTTGGGTCAAAATGATCACAAGAACGGTGAGCAAAAATCCCAGAACCACACGGGGGGACCTAGTGAATGACCTGCAGAGAGCTGGGACCAAAGTAACAAAGCCTACCATCAGTAACACACTACGCCGCCAGGGACTCAAATTCTGCAGTGCCAGACGTGTCCCCCTGCTTAAGCCAGTACATGTCCAGGCCCGTCTGAAGTTTGCTAGAGTGCATTTGGATGATCCAGAAGAGGATTGGGAGAATGTCATATGGTCAGATGAAACCAAAATAGAACTTTTTGGTAAAAACTCAACTCGTCGTGTTTGGAGGACAAAGAATGCTGAGTTGCATCCAAAGAACACCATACCTACTGTGAACCATGGGGGTGGAAACATCATGCTTTGGGGCTGTTTTTCTGCAAAGGGACCAGGACAACTGATCCGTGTAAAGGAAAGAATGAATGGGGCCATGTATCGTGAGATTTTGAGTGAAAACCTCCTTCCATCAGCAAGGGCATTGAAGGTGAAACGTGGCTGGGTCTTTCAGCATGACAATGATCCCAGACACACCGCCCGGGCAACGAAGGAGTGGCTTCGTAAGAAGCATTTCAAGGTCCTGGAGTGGCCTAGCCAGTCTCCAGATCTCAACCCCATAGAAAATCTTTGGAGGGAGTTGAATGTCCGTGTTGCCCAGCGACAGCCCCAAAACATCACTGCTCTAGAGGAGATCTGCATGGAGGAATGGGCCAAAATACCAGCAACAGTGTGTGAAAACCTTGTGAAGACTTACAGAAAACGTTTGACCTGTGTCATTGCCAACAAAGGGTATATAACAAAGTATTGAGAAACTTTTGTTATTGACCAAATACTTATTTTCCACCATAATTTGCAAATAAATTCATTAAAAATCCTACAATGTGATTTTCTGGAATTTTTTTTCCTCATTTTGTCTGTCATAGTTGACGTGTACCTATGATGAAAATTACAGGCCTCTCTCATCTTTTTAAGTGGGAGAACTTGCACAATTGGTGGCTGACTAAATACTTTTTTTCCCCACTGTACATGTTTCTAATGTTTCTTTAGACCTGCCTAAAATAAATAATGGATTTATTGTGATGGTGTATATTAAATTGATTTATTTGACTTTTTTAAATGTAGATGTTCCGAAGGCGCGCATCAGCGGCTTGTATGTCTGGAGGCCTGGAGATGCTAAGCATGTTTATAGTAATGAATGGTCCAGTACGGTGAGACCGGCAGTCTTTTTCATGACAATAACCGGCTGACATATTTCATGACCGCCACAGCCCTAGATAGGCATGGGTTTGAAACCCACCCTGGACCTTCCGAATTGGTCTCCCCCATCTTATTCCTCCCTATATATATATCCATTAAAGGATAAGTTGTATTTTTTTACAAACAAATCTCTATTTTTTATGTAAATCGAATGTTATAGAATTTTTGTGATTTCACTTGTTTTTGAGAAACTTCCTCATCCTCGTTGTGTAGTATGGGGTCCCTGAAAAAACATTAACAAAGGCTCCAAAAACACACAAATACGTCCTTTTAGAAACAGCAAAGCTCTTTGTATAGTGATGCAGGTTTTTAGATGTTGTACACATGAAATTGTCATTCCGAACTTTATCCGCAACATTATATTCCCTTTTGTGCGACTATTGCTGTTTCCCCTATCCAGCTGTTCCATTCTCTGTAGCTGAGTCCCCAACAACCAGATGTTCCGGTTTTCAGGGGAAATGGAAAGAGAGCCTGTGACGCAACTTCTGGTTTTGGACGTTAACAAGGTCATCTCTATAAGGGTCCAGCTTTTGTGAAATTCATGTCCGATTTTCGTAGCAGGTTAGGAAAATGTACACAGCAGGTTAGGATAATTAATTTAGCAGGTTAGGATAATTAGGTTAAGGTTAGGGTTAGCTAAAAAAAAAAAATCTACTTTTGACATTAATTTGACAAAAGCTGTATTCCTTCCAGTCATGACCCATTAACAAGGCGACTCTCCAACTTAACTCATCCTCCACATTTACTGGATTGGTTGAACAGTGCAGAAGATAACCTCCCCCGACAGTTTTTTTTTCATCTCGTCAAGACCAGCATGTAGGCACAGATTATCCATTATATTGACCAGATACTCCATTGGCCGCTCTATCAATTAAAATAAATGTCTTCAAAAATGGAAGGCAGTCGGAAGGAGGCAATGGGCCGGCCCATGAGACACAAGAACAGCTTCGATGCACCTTGGCATAGATTCTACATGTGTCTGGAACTTCCTGTGGGGAAGCACCCCATGCTTTCAATTACAGGAGGTTGGTGGCATCTTAATTGGGGAGGACAGGCTCGTGGTAATGGCTGGAGCGGAATTAGTTGAATGGTATCCAACACATGGTTTGATACCATTCCATTCGCCATGTTTGAGACTTGAAACAACTCTAGCTGACAATTGTCATATTCCAGACCTACTCTCTGTTATGTAGCTACATATATTTTATTTGACGCTTGTTTATTTTTTTTTTCAAGCGCTTTGAGATTCTTTCTGTAATGAAAACCGCTATAGAAGCTGAATAAATTATTATTGGTAGTAGTATTATGAGACAGAGAAATTTGCACTTTTAAAGCCAATTTACTGTAATTCCACCCCCCAAAAATCATGGCTTATGACGTGCTCATAATGCTATCTGGGGGGGGCCTCCAAGGGGACCCCAACCCCCCAAAAAGTGTAGCGTAACGCACCTCATTTACCTTCCCTGGTGTGATGGAGAGATACAACAGATCGTTTTAAGCAGTGGTAGCCCTTGTAAGTGGTGAATAATTAATAGGATGTAAATGTTGTCCAGGTTGACTACACGGAGAGGCCGTTTAAGTCGAGTTTTGTCAACCAGGCTGAACCAGCTTGTCTTCATTGATTGTTCAGAGATTCTCCCCCAAAATAAATGCTATAACATCATTTTAGCTCAGAAACTAAGTAGAAACCTTGTGCACAGTAGTGCGTCTAAACTCTAGATTCTGGCAAAACAAATGTCAAAGAACCCTAAAATGTCATAGCAGAGGCTCTCTGAAATAAATAGGAATGAAGCTAGTCAACTGCTTCACTTGTGTGCGTTTTTATTTATATATATATACAGTGGGGAGAACAAGTATTTGATACACTAACGATTTTGCAGGTTTTCCTACTTACAAAGCATGTAGAGGTCTGTAATTTTTATCATAGGTACACTTCAACTGTGAGAGACGGAATCTAAAACAAAAATCCAGAAAATCACATTGTATGATTTTTAAGTAAATTATTTGCATTCTATTGCATGACATAAGTATTTGATC